AAAAAATAAGTACCATATAAATTAAATAAAAAAATTTATTTAAACATTAATTAATTGAAATATATATAATTTTATTAATTAATTATTACAAACCTATTTTATTACTACGCAAGTAGGTGAAAAAACAAAAAACAAAAAACAATGTTCGCTGGAAGTTCGACGAGGAAATATTTTGTATTTATTGAATGTTATCCATGACGTCGGCGATAAAACGGCGGAGCGAGGAGTGTGAAGATCCTCCACCAATCACGGAGGCGGTTCGGCTCTTTTCACTCATGTCCTTCACCTTCTTTCTGATATCGCTATCCTCCTCCATCACAGCCATTATTCCTCTCTTTATCTCCTCCGAACTCACAATTGGTTCGTTCCCCATCATCCAATCCTTCCGATAATCCATTTTAATTTCCACCGCTAATCCCAATTCCACCACCAACTGGAAAGCATTGAGTTGTTGCTCAGCGAACATCGGCCACGCCGCAATTGGAACACCAAACCATATACTCTCCAATGTAGAATTCCACCCACAATGCGATACGAACCCTCCGATTGCTGAGTGGGCCAGGATTTCCACTTGTGGAGCCCATCCAATCACCTTCCCAATCCCATTCGTCCGATCTAAGAATCCTTCGGGTAATACTTCTTCCAGATTTGAATAATCAGTCGGTGATGACATCGTGCCCTTCGGTGGAGGTTTGCGTAGGGACCACAGGAATCGGTGTCCGCTCTGCTCTAGTGCACAGGCGATCTCTTTCACTTGATCCTCACCGAAGCTTCCCATGCTCCCGAAGCATAGGAACACAACTGACAACGGAGCTTGATCATCAAGCCATTTCATGATATCGGAGCATTGATCTTGACCGTCGGTCTGGAGATTCAATACAGGTCCCACTGGATAAACTGGTGGTATTTGGGGATCAGACGAAAGAGAGTTGAGCGCGTGAGATTCGAGTTCCATGAATGAATTTACCATAATTCCCTTAGTCTCTCTAAACCTTCTAGTGAGTTGAAACGAGTCGGCGGCGCTGTCTTTGTGAAGAAATGGAGAAGGTAAGACCTTTGCCGGAACTGGGTTCCGGAAATAAGGAGCTGGAAGCTCGGCGTTAGATCCATTGAACTCGGTGATGTCAATGTTCTGGAAATCGTGGAGGGCTTGTAAGTGAAAACAGAGACTAAGAGTGGCAGCGCCTGAGGTGAAAAACATGTAGCTAGGGACTCCTAATTCATTAGCCACATCTATCATCGTCGTGCAGAACATGTCGATGACAAACCCGGCGAGTACTGAGTCGTTGGAGGAAGTGATGGTGGTGGTGACTGCTTCTTTGACTAAGGGTTTATGAATCTCAGCCAACCGGTGGTGACCGAGGTCATGATTTTGGTTTTGGGGCGGAGAGAGGTAAATGAATCGGATACGGTCGTGGACGGGTTGGTCGTAGGGGGTGGTGTTGGTTTCCAAGGGTGATTTGATTATTAGAACGGTGATTGAGAGGCGGGAATTTTGATGGACAAGAAGCTTGGCAAGCTGCTCCATGGAAACGATGTGGCCTTTAAGTGATGTGGAGATGAAGAATAGCTCTACCTTGTTCATTGTAAGAGATAAAAAATGAACACTGGCAGGGCTTTGCGTCCTTGTTCGTTTGGTGAAGGTAAAGTTCGGGCGTATGATATAATAGATGATGGAGAGTGTCATTTCGTCATTGCTTAGCTGGCAGTGTGTTGACATTTTGTTGTTCTTCATAGCATGCATATCGATCACGGCAGTAGCCAACCAGCATTGTGTGGCCCACGACTGCAACAGTCTTGACTAGTGTAGTTGTATTTAAAAATTTCAAATTTAAAGATATTGTACGGAAATAATCATCTTTTATTTTTTATTTATTTTTATTTATATCTCATGCTATTTAAATTTAAAATTTTTTATTTTTAATAAAAAGAAATGATCACTGAATTATTTAAATAATTAATAAATTTTTTTTACTAATCTTATTTTTTATTTTTAATTGTATTAGTTAAAAAGAAAAAAAAAATCAATTCTGACAGTAGATCCTTGCGAAGACATAATTTCCAAAATGATGGACAACTAACTATAACTAAATACAGAAAAGAAAAAGGAAGATTTATTATGGAAAAAGAAAAAAGAGAAGATCTATTATGGAAAAAAAAAAAGTAATTTCCGAAAATGATGGACAACTAAATACAGAAACAAAAAAAGAGAAGATTTATTTTATATATATA